TAAAGACACCATTACACATTTTGTCAAATAAAACTTTTTGTGGTCTAGTTGATGGAAAAGGATTATGAAAAGGAAAATTAATATGTTGAACCTATAAAAACAAAATCAATTTCTTTTACTTCTTGAATTATAGTGATTGACTAGTTTCAAGTTCCGATTGGTAATAATGTAATTTAGGAATGACAGAAAATATTTATATTTTTGTTTTTGTTTTTGTTTTTATATTAACAGAAAATATTTTAGGGTTATCCATCATAAGATGATGCAAATCTACTAGTACACAATTTACCAATCAAAATTTTCTTGTTATATGAAAAAAACACATGGAAAACAGCTATTAGTTAAGACTTCATAGTTATTCTTTTTAAGATTTTTAAAATCCATCATATATAATTTATCAATCAAAACTTTTTGTTAGATGAAACACATGTGGAAAATAGCTATTGGTTTGACTTTAAGGTTATGTTTTTTAAGATGATTCAAATTCACCATTAAACAATTTACCAATCAAAACTTTTGTTGTGGTCTAGTTGATGAAAAAAAAATTGTGAAAAGGGAAATTAATATATTGAACCTATAAAAAATAATTTTTTTTTACTTTTTGACACCAGCTAAGGAGCACGGAACCAGGAGCCATGAGAAGTAGAGCATGCAGCTTAGAAGAGCTAAAAGGACATACGGGCTGAGTTCAGCTCAAACGGAGGCCAAGACCAGACATTCAAACTAAAAAAACACTGGGAGAGTATTCTTAACTCATATAGAGGTCACCACGAAGAAGAATCAGCCAAAAAGGATTCCATATGAAGAAGTTATTGAAGATACAATTTGGCAGATCTTCAATGAGCTCGATGGAGACATACGATCACTCCTCGGGTCATTCCGGCCGAACCAGGATGAACCAAGCAACAAATTCAATTTTTTGTATTCTCAACTCATCAGAGGCACGCTAAAAATGGTACTTGGTCCAAACAGATTTTATACGAAGGAGTTATTCAATTTCAAAATCGGGTAAACCAGAGCTTTCCTGAATTGGACCTGCGAGCAGTTATTGGAGGTTTTCCACTGAACCATGAGGAATTAAATTACGAGCCAGTTTATTTTGAAATCTTAAGTCAACCACGGTCCGCATCGAATTGGAATGACATCAAAAGGAGTTGGGATGTGAAAGTTATTACAATTATAATCCGTAAGATCTTATACCAACTCTCGCTCGACTTTTCTCATTTAGATGCTTTCACACTTGGAGGAATACATGAGCAACGGTCTTATTACATTAATGTGAAACGCCAAGGAGTTTCTAGAAGATTATCCAGCCATGGAGTCATCCAAAAATTATAAGAGATACAAGAATTCATCAAGTTCCCATATTTAGGCAAACCAAATCAACTCCAACAACTATAATATTCAAACACCAATCCCTTTGATTTCTTTTGTCAATTATTTCGACCATTTGTTTACCATTTATAGCATTTAGGACGTCTATTAGATGAGCTATTTGGAGCCTTTAAAAGCTCAATTTATTCTTCATTTGTAGAACCCAATATTTTTGAATCAATAAACTTTAAGTTTTCTTTTTACAAAAGAGTGTCTCTTGTGTTCTTGTCATTTTAAATCTTTGGTGGATTCCATTGTCTTGTGTGATTGTGTTTCTATGCTGTTTGTGAGATTCAGACACCCTGGTTCGTGGTTGAGTGTGGATTCATTCAACAAACATTCATCTCCATCTCTACCGTCTTCCATCTTCCACGCATACAGCTTGCAAACTCTTGATCATCTTTTAAACATAAGTTTGGTGGATATCTTATATCATCTGGTATCAGAGCTTTGAAAGCTTCTATCTATCCGATTGTGTTCATCCAACCTTTATCTTTTAATTTTAGAAATTGCTTTGTTTGATTTCCTAATTATCGAAAAAAGAAACCAAAAACAAAAATTGTTCTTGTTTCAAATTTGTTTCATTAGTTTCCTTCTTGCTATTGCTTATTCATTTCTATATATTAAATCATATTTTTGTTATATTTCTATTTGTTTTGAATTAAGGAACCATAATCCCATTAAAAAAAAAATCTATATTTCCTCTCCTTGAATTTAATTCGAAATTATTTTATTATAAAATTTGAAAAGCCAAAAGAAAAGTTTTGTGATCAGTTTTCCTTAATTTTTTTTTAAAAATTGTTAACTCACTTTATATGAAAGTTTGTCATAATATTTGTTTCCTTTTGCTTTGATTGATTTATATTGTTTCCTTTTTATTCTTAAGTGAGGACATTGACGCTTAAGTATTCTTCTATCTCTCTTTTGTGAGTCTATCTCAAAGAAAACCAAAAAATAATGGAGGACTATGACGACGAAGAAGACCAATGGAGTCAAGGAGGAGAAAGCCAAATATTTTCTGAAGACATATACAACTATGAAGATGATGATTATGGAGAAGAAGCATGGCAAGAAGATGGTCCATTAGACTGTGATTTTATAAAGGAAGCACGTGATGGAGAACCTGAACCTGAACCACCAGATTGTAGCCATGAAGATGCAAGCCACTATGAAAGTGGAATAGAAGAAAACCATGAAAGAGACTCATGGCAGGATGAGACTGAATCTCAATTCAGTCAAGAAGGAGGCCACAAAATTGAAACTGAAGATGGAGAACCCAATGAAGAAGACCAGTTCATGGAGCCTTACACCTCTGAAGAAAATATTAGTTCTTACCAAGAAAACACACCTTTGTATGACGACTCTGATTCAGAAATCAGTTTGGGTGAAGCAGAGCAGTATACCAACGACCCTTGGAGCCATGAAGCTGAACCAGAAGTTAGCCATGATGAAGACTCAGAGTTTGAAGAGGAGGAGAATCCAGAGTGCATCAACATCATCACTCAAGCTGAATCATGGGAAGATTCAACAGATGAAGAAAGACATTTTAAACCACATCAAATCTGTTTCTCAGGCCATAGGCAAGGACCAGAGGCTTACTTAAGATGGGAAAGAGAAATGGAAGATTGGTTTCAATCAAACCAAATTCCTGAGGAGGAGAAGACATCATATGCTGAGGATACTCTCACTGAAGATGCTTTTCTGGAATGGGAAAAATATGCATATGTCTGACTTGAGTATGATGTAACTGATGCTTCTTGGGAAGAGATGAAGCAAATACTACATGAAGAATTTGTAGAAGCTGCTTAATCAAATAGAGCATGCTATGTGAAGATTGACTCAAACCCAGAGCCAAGGAGATGGATTCAAGCAACAAGGCCTAATCCAAAAGATAAGTTACAAAAATCTTACTGTCAAGACCAGAGGAGAGTTTCTCACCACGAATTGAAGGAGAATACTAGCCCCAAACAACCAGATAAGTTCAAGGAAGTACAAAGAGGACCAGCTCAACAAGTCACACCTCACAAGCAAAGCTCAAATTCATTACATGAACACCACAACAAATCAGAGCAATCTAAGTCTCCTCAACCTCCTAAAGTAGAAGATAAGACATGTTATAGGTGTCACCAAATGGGTCATCTTGCTAAGATATGCCCATCTAGAAGGGTAGAAACGACCTCACATTCTGAATTAGAAAAGAAAGAAACTAGGAAAGAAGAAGAAAATGTTGAACTTAATCGTATAGTTTCCAATGCTAGTTTGATACACTTGTCTTTGTCAAAAGAACTTGAGGTTATTACAGGAGTATCTAGAGAAGAGTCTAATCAAGAAACTGGAGCTGGAGAAGAAAAACCATTCCTAGATACTGGACCTATCCCCAACAATACACAAGAAATCACAAAAGTCTTAAGCATCAAGCTTGATGAAAGGAATAAAGAAAAAGAAGGTATCAAAGAGAAACCACCAGACCAAGCTCCAAACACTTTCAGTGTTAGCGAGGTAAGTCCCTCTTAAACTCATTTCGTTCCTAATAATTCCACAGTTTTATTAAAAGATTTATTAAACATACAAAAGAATGAGAGATCAATTTGTTTAAAATCACAACTAGGGAAAAACCTTGTTACAACTACACTACAAGAAAGAAGGTTTTTAAAGTCATTTTTTGGGTAGTTAACATTACTTATTAATTGACTTTAAAAACTTAGGGTCATTTGTGAAAATGATACAATAATGGATGATGCTAAAGTTATTAGCATCACTTACAAAAATCACACTATGTTTAGCATTACTTATAAAAATGACTTTAAATTTTCTATTTTTTTAATGTCATTTGAAACCAACATCAGTTTTCTATCATTTGGTAAATTAACTAAATTAACTAGATTAATTAGAATAATATTTGGTAATATTTCTTTTATATAATAACACTTGAAACAAGATTCAAATTACAAAGTTTTACATCACAATTCAGTTTTGATAATAAATTCAAAGTAAGAAAAAAGACAAGTGAAGAGAAACGAAAAGAAGAGAAACAAAAAAAAGAGAAGTGAAGAGAAACGAAAAGAAGAGAAACAAAAAAAAGAGAAGTGAAGAGAAACAAGACGAGAAAGAGACACGACCAGAAGTCGGAACAGAACCATAAGTCAAAACCTGAAATTAAAAACAAAAACAGAACAAGTCAAAAACAGAGCATTATAAATGACTAAAAGATCACAAACAACTATGCTTTCTAACCATTTCTTTTCATGTTCTCTAACCAAGATATAGTCACAACAAAAGACATCTATGTCAATGTTCTCTAACCAAGATATAGTCACAACATGTTCTGATTCGAAACCATATCAGTTCGTAACATTCTCTAACCAATATACAATCACATACTAAGATACAATCATATTCTCTAACCAAGGTACAATCACACTCTCTAAACGATATGCTCCAAGTTGCAACTCGTTACAACAAAGAAAAGAGGAACATACCAGTTTCAAGTGAAATCCAAATCAAGTTAAATTCAAGTTTGAGCCTTTGAAATGCCACTTTCCTGAAATTGCAGATAAATAACAAAGCTCTTGAGCCATTGATAGCCACGAAATGAAATGATTAAATCAAGTAATTTTTGTTACCTGATCACTGTTGATACTAGATGATTGATGAAAATTAGTCTTAAGCTTTGTGTTCTCATCTCTTGCATTCGCCTGAAATTGTAAAGAAAGTGTTACATATAAGAAATATAAAATGTAAATGACCTAAAGATCACAAAGAACTTACTTGGATATGCACTTGCTTTCTTGACTCAATAAGAGCATACACAGCATTAGTCACGACATCTAGTTTATCAGCTAATCCTTTTATTTTGGACTTTATATATATCATCTCGGTAGTAGTAGACGAATTGCATTCTGAATTAGAGAAGTACTTGGATGGTGTCGGACCACGCCCAACACATCGAACTCTTCCCGGTTGCTCAGGACCAAATACTTGTTTAAATGCATCATGTGCTTTACTTTGAATATTCTCGGTCATTACTTGTTTCAGCTTATCCTACACGACCACATAACATAAGCGATATTAAAGAGAAAATGACCTCATAACATATCTAAAAGAGACAGAGAACTTACCACAGAGATTCTTGCTTCGTTACAAATAAAACTTCCATCTGATCTAGTACATGATGTAATGAAAAGTTCACTTCGACTTGGTTCTATGCCTGTCTCCTCTTCCTAGTAAATAAACGGATGCAATGAATTCAGTAGGATAAAGAGAACCGTAAGTACTAATGAATTCAGTAACTTATCTTACCATCTCATGAGCCTTTCTAGCGAAACTCTTTTTACCAAGTGCATGTGGCATCTTATGTTTGCTTCGACTCTTAATATTACGCTCTCTCATTTTTTTTGCCTTATCAGTGAATTGCATTTCCACAAGCTCTCTCCATTGGTCTTCTGGAACTAGACCCGGCCGCGGTTCAAATGCTTCTTGTATCGTGTTTCGTCTATGAGCATCCCAAAGACGTTGCTTCAAGTCTCTACATCTACATCCTAGAGTAGATAGAACATATTTCTTCCTCTTTGTTGGGTCATCAAACCAGAATTTTTTCTGTACAATAAAGGAAACAGTTACTTGTTGAAGCATAAAACAATCATTATCATCAAACCAGAATAACATATCTCTCTCCATTACCTGAATTACTTTCCAAGCCATCTCTTTTCTGTAGTTAGAAACTTTCCTCCAATCTGTGTAATTTATAGGTAGTAGATTAAGATCATTACTTAGTGAGCCTAGCCACGAACCAAACAAACCTCTAGAATCCTTGATAGCTTGTCCTTTTGTATTGAAATCAACCATAACCCGTCGGTTTTGCATGCTCCACACTTCTTTTCCAGATATTCGTTCTTCTGTAATTCTTGCATCACCATCTAAAACACAAGAAACATCACCATCTCAGATTAATCATAAAAGACTTATAAGACAAGGTAGAAGCTTACACACCTATGATGCGAACTTTCCATTTTCCACTTGCTAATTTTGGTCCAAGAGGAGGTGGTGCTATAAAATCTTCAGCTCCAGACATATTTATACCTATAAAAGTAGCAAAACGATTGTCATATATAAAGTTCAGAGTCTTCATGAAATGAAAACAAGTACAATTCAGAGTCTTAACCTCCATATCACACGAAATCTGAGAACTGTCAAAATCTTCAAATTGTCTCACTAATCTAATGTTAGGAACATTACCAGATATAATCAATGATCTTTGAATATTATCAGGAGGAGCTTCGATCATAATTTCATCTTCTTCTGAAATAGTGGGATCACTCATGTCATACAAGTCTCTTGGTTGGACATGCACAACAACGCTCCATCCTTTTTCTTGTGGATCTTCTACATAGTAAACTAACCTAGCCTGAGAAGCCAACACATAAGGTTCATCTTCCTCACCGCTTCCAGTGTGTATTAAACGGGAAAAATTTACCATAGTATGACCGAGATCATCTTTCTTATAACCTCGAGCATCACGAGTATCAGCCCATTTACATCTGAACAACACAACTCTAAAGGAATCATAATAGTTTAATTCTATGATTTCAACCAACTTCCCATAGTAAGAAACATCCCCAACTCTAGGATTAAGATCACGAGAACTTGCATAACTAATAGTCTCAGCTGAAACAAAGACTCCACTATTCTGAGTTTTTAAATCTTGATCCCTTTCTATAGTTCTAAACTTGAAACCGTTGATATTATATGCTGAAAACTTTAAAACCTTATCAGATGGACCTGGTGCAAGACATCGAATATCATCAGAAATAACATCAAGATCATTCTTCTCTACTTTTAGCTTAAGCCATTGACTAAAATGGAGATGCACATGTCGATCTACATCTATCACAGTTCCTCTTTTCCTACGCCGTGATTGTGACCTTATTAATTCACTCTTAAATAACCTACATAATCAAATCGCCAAATCATTACATCATCAAACACAAAATCATCATAACACCAAATCATCAAAGCATATTGAAGTAGAAATCTTACTCTCGATAGTGATCTAAAAATGAACTATTGACTAGGATATATCGATGGGCCTGCTGACGTTCATATGGACTAAGTGTGTCCAACATAAAAGCACCAACGGATCTCCCAAGTGCAGAAAAAAATAACTGGAATACATGACTCAGAACCCAACTCATATGGAACCATATTTTTATCATCCACTCTCCCAACACGATTAAAATGTGTTTCCACTCCCTCAAGATACATAGAGCAAAATTTAATGCATTCATCAGTAATATATTGCTCACATATAGAACCTTCTGGTCGAGCTCGATTTCGAACATATGACTTAAAATGTCCCAATATCCTATTGACAAAAATCAACACAAAGACTCAATCAACACAAAGACTCAATCAACACAAAGATTCAATAAACACAAAAATTAACTAGTAGTTACCTTTCGACTGGATACATCCATCGAAATTGAACTGGACCTCCCAGTTTCACTTCTTCTGTTAGATAAATGGTTAAATGAACCATTACTGTGAAGAATGATGGAGGAAAGATCATTTCTAAATGGCACAATGTAAGTGCAATATACTTCTGCAACTTATTGATATCTTCAATGTCAATTACTTTTAGGCTGATTTCCCGAAAAAACTGACACAACTCTGTTATAACAAATGAGACCTCACGTGGTAAAACATTACGTAAGGAGATAGACAATAAGTGACACATCAAAATGTGGCAATCATGACTCTTTAAACCAACCATTTTTCTTTGATTTATATCAACACACCTGGAAATATTTGAAGAATACCCATCTTGGAGCTTTACATTCTTTAATATGTTAAGAAATCTGTCTTTCTCAGACGTAGTCATTGTAAAACAAGCTGGAAGGTACCTACCATTTTCATCAGACCACAACTACTCACGTATACCAAGCTCTTGTAAATCTTTTCTGGCACTGAGATTGTCTTTTGACTTGTCTTTGTCATTCAGTAAGGTAAAAATGAGATTATCAAACACATTCTTCTCTATGTGCATCGGATCCAGATTGTGTCGCAAAAGAAGATGTTTCCAATAAGGTAATTCAAAGAATATACTCCTCTTTCTCCACTGATTCTTTCCATCTTCTACTCGGCATCTCTTCTTTCCAACAGAATCAATCTTCTTCCCTAAAGTAACATCAACATTTTGCATTTGTTGGAGAATAACACTTCCTGATGGTGTAATAGGAGAAGTCTTTGTTTCAGTAAAACCATCAAAATACTGCTTAACTTTTCGAAAACTATGACTTTCAGGAAGAAAACGCCTATGTCCCATGTAACAGTTCTTCTTCCCATGGCGTAGACGGAGCTCTCTAGCATCATAGTTACAAGAAGGACAAGCTAATCTTGTGTAAAGTTTCCACCCAGATAAATTTCCTAGACCTGGAAAATCACTAATAGTCCATAGCAAAACCGCACGCATAGAAAATGTCTCTTTTAAAGAAGCATCAAAGGTTGGTACTCCATCATATCATAACTCTCTTAGTTCCTTGATAAGAGGCTGTAGGTAGATATCAGTATCATTACCCGGCTGATGTTTCCCAGGGATTATCATTGAAAGAATTGTTGATGTTTGCTTCATTGACATCCAAGGAGGAAAGTTATAAGGGAATAAAAACACCGGCCATACACTGTAGTTTGTGCTCAAAGAACCAAAAGGATTAAAACCATCAGTTGCTAATCCTAGCCTGACATTCCTTGGGTCTGATGCAAACTCTAGAAATTCTTGATTAAATGTTTTCCATGCCATTCCATCTCTAGGATGCCTAAGCTTACCATCTTTATTCTCAGAACTATCATGCCACCTCATATATTCAGCAGTCTTGGATGACATAAAGAAACGCTGCAACCGTGGTTTAAGAGGAAAATATCTAAGGACTTTAGCAGCTTGTTGCTTTTTTTTCTTCTTCTTCTTTTTATCAACCTCCACGGATGTATCATCAACTGCCATAGATTTTTTCCATCTTGAACTTTCACAAACTTTACATGTGTGCCTAGATGCATCATCTCCCCAATAAAGCATGCAGTCATTAGGACACGCATGAATGATCTCATATGTAAATCCTAACTTACGAATAATCTTCTTCATATCGTTGAACGAGTCTGGCAGCTTTGCATGATCAAATGCTTCTTTCAAGAGGTCAATTATCATAGACATTTCTTTGTCACTTATCCTAGACATACACTTGATGTGGTACAATTTAAGCATGAATGATAACTTGCTAAAAGACTGGCATCCTTCATAAAGAGCTTGATTACAGTCTGATAACAAATCATTAAGGGCCTCTTTTTGCTTCGAATGATCTTCTCTGGGACTAGCAGATTCAGAGTCAAAACTATTATCCATAGTCGGGTCTTCAGTATTATTCATACTGGGAAAAACATCTTCTAGCAGATTCACAATCGGGTCTTCAGAATTATTCATACTGGGAGAAGCTAAACTTTCAGATTCTAAACTAACTGTCTCCTCATATGACTCTAATTCTTCACCATGTAGATACCAATTTGTATATGCAGGAAGAAATCCATGACAGATTAAATCACCCTCAATATCAACCCTAAGCTTGTGTCTAACAAGGCAGCAACGCTGACAAGGACATTTGATCATGTCTGTCTTCATATTTCCAAATGCAAAATCCAAAAAACTCGTGACTCCACGTATGTAGTCTTCAGATAACCAATTTTTGGTTATCCAAGATTTATCTATTTCAAAATGAATCTACAAATAAATCAAACCAATCATCATAAATCAAAGTTCATTCAGATTCTAACACAGTTTGAAACACCATTTCGAGGATGGTGTAGAACACAGTTCAAGTTTCTCAAAGTTCTAACATATAACCATATAATCGAATCACATTTAACAAGTTTCTCAAAGTTCTAACACATAACCATATAATTGAATCACATTTAACAAATTTCTCAAACACAACTATTCACATTTCTCAAACACATAACAATAGTGTAGTCAAACTATTCTCAACTATTCACCTTTTTTAAAAACACATAATCATACAGCATATCTAGGTTATTTAAGAGTGGCGCTAAATGTGAAAACTAACCTTTATGAGTGGTGTTGAAATCTGAGCTGTATGAGCATCCAGAGATGAAATCAATTGAGGAAGCTTCGCCAACGCCTTACAAAAATGGGAAAGAACATAAGTATCACAGCTATTCAAAAGTGAAAGTAAAGAAAATACAAAGCTCACAATTTATCATATCTGTCAGTGGTATATGAGCTGATCAAATAGAATATAATACCTTAGAATAAACATCTAAAATTACACAAAGGTAACTAAGGAAGGCAACTAAACGTCAACAAAGAGGCTCAAGCAACACATAAGAAAATACATTAAGGGAACAAAAAAAACGATCACAATTCTTGAATGGCAACCAATCATCATAAATCAAAGTTCATTCAAAGTTCTAACACATAACCATATAATCGAACCAATCATCCTAAATAAAAGTTTATTCAAAGTTTAACAAAATTCAAGTTTCTCAAAGTTCAAACACATATAATCGAACCAATCATCCTAAATCAAAGTTTATTCAAAGTTTAACACAGTTCAAGTTTCTCAAAGTCCTAAATCAAATTTTATTCACCTTTCTCAACACATAATCAAACAATATTTAAGAGTGGCACTAAATGTGAAACTGACCTTTCTGAGTGGTGTTAAACTATGAGCTGTATGAGCATCCAGAGATGAAATCAGCTTCGCCAACTCGCCAACGCCTTACAAAAATGAGAAAATGCTTAAGTAACCATTCACTTTGGAGACACAGAACAATCTGAATATCACAGAGAAAATCGACAATGTTTCTGCTTCGTTTCAGTTCACTAATCAGCTAATCTAAAACCAATCATCTAATTAGCTACAAATCTCAGGATCGATTTATGCCGAGAACCCAGAAACGTTGGAATCAAATCAAAATCGAAAATCAAAATTAGGTATATTCATCAATTAAAGCAGAAGAAATCTAATGGAATCAACATTACTAACCTTATTCGAATTCCAGAAATTTGAGTGAAA